TGAATTTGTTTCAAAAGAATCCAATGAATAAGTATCCATGGTAACTTATTTTCTTCTTGACAAAAATAATTAAAGTAATCAGTGCTGCCTGCTAAGATCTTTTAAAACTTGTTTTCAATGAGCTATTTTTTAGCTCATTTTTAAAAACTTACTAGTGACTCCATTTTCTTTCCAAGTTCCTTTCTAGGACCACGATGGACCTCTTATTTTTTTCATTTCACTGCTATTTTATTTCATTGATAATTTTATTAAAACAGGAAAAATTCTGCCAAAACCATTTCGTTACCCAAAACACAAACTCTAAGATCCTTAGACAGGGTTCATTTATGCATGTAAGAATGCTTTGTGGATATACTATATGTACAACATAGTGAACAAAGTATGAAAAAAAGAAACAAGATCCTTTGCCTCACTGCAACTTAATCCTTTTGCATTCATTATATTAAACATGCCTAACAACCTTGAATATTCCCCTTCACCTTGAGCTTTTACAGAGAGCTCAAGTACCTTCATAATAAATGAAGTAATGTGGTGTAGTATAAAGAGCCAGGTACAGATCTGTCACCAAAGGAACTTAACTTCCTTAGGCCTCTGTTTTCTCTCTTATAAAATAAAGTAGTTGGATTATATCTCTTCCATTTAAATTGGCTGTTAGGTACTTAATTCAGAACCTGCTATACTTTTACATAGTAAAAACAGTTAACATCCTGTTAATCAATATTCCAAACAATAGAATACTACATGACCCTTTAAAAAAAAAAAAAAAAAAGTTGTAGGAGTGCCTGGGTGGCTCAGTCAGGTATGCATCTAACTTTGGCTTGGGTCATGGTCTCACAGTTTGTGAGTTCGAGCCTGGCACTGGGCTCTGTGCTGACAGCTCAGAGCCTGGAGTCTGCTTAGGATTCTGTCTCCCTCTCTCTCTGCCCCTCCCTATTCATGCTCTGTCTCCCTCTCTCAAAAAATTAAAAAAATATTTTTTTTAATTAAAAACACTTGTAGATCAAATATGTGCTAATTTAAAAGGATGTCCCAGGGGCAGTGGGTTAAGCGTCCGACTTCAGCCAGGTAACGATCTCGCGGTCCGGGAGTTCAAGCCCCGCGTCAGGCTCTGGGCTGATGGCTCAGAGCCTGGAGCCTGTTTCCGATTCTGTGTCTCCCTCTCTCTCTGCCCCTCCCCTGTTCATGCTCTGTTTCTCTCTGTCCCAAAAATAAAAATAAAACGTTGAAAAAATAAAATAAAATAAAATAAAAGGATGTCCCAGGTAGCCTATTAAAACACAAGAGCAAAAAACAAAAACAAACAAAAACCCCAAACACCACAATAGCAAATGCAGACAGTATGACCCATTTTGAATGTATTTTAAGACAGATATACATATGTATGTACAGATATTTTCTAGAAGAAATAGAATATATAGAAAATATCTATAGATATTTTCAGAAGAAACTTCAAAATGGTTATTGGGGGAAATGGGGTGCTAACTTTTTTTTTTTTTACCTCTTAGCCTTTTATAATATATTTTCAGAAGAAACCTCAAAATGGTTATTGGGGGAAATGGGGCGCTAACTTTTTTTTTTTTTTTTTACCTCTTAGCCTTTTATAATATTTGAAAAAAATTTACATAATGAACATGTATTATCTTTATAGTTTTTTTTAATCTTTATAAATTTTTTAAAAGAAACTAAAAGACCTGCCGATCCAGGTTATATAATTAGAAAAGACCTGGATTCAAATACTGGCTTTGCTAGTTACCATCTGTGTGCTATTAAGATACTTAACCTCAATTTCTCCATCTCTAAAAAGGAGTCGATAGTACCAACCTCATGCAACTGTTGGTAGGATAAAAGGAAATTATACGTGTAAGGCACTTAGCATAACATACTGTAAGAAGACAACTATTAGCAGCTTTGCTATAATTATTATAAATATCATAAACTTCAGAAACTGAGTGTCTTTAGAATCAGATTTGACAATTCACTCAAGGAGGACCATCTCAAAGGCAACCAATTTCCTTTACCCAAAATTGAATCAATCTGATTAGTATAGGAAAGAGCATATTTAGTAAGATTAAAAAAAAAAAAAAGCTATCACAGGTAGCAAGTGGGCTGACAGACATGGTAATCACAGCGAAGTCTGGGTTTTAATTAATTATTATCTAACTAGAATAGCCTTCTTCATTATGTGGATACCTATCCAAAGAGCCAGAATACTCAATACAGCTAGTCAGGGGACCCTGCTTTTGACAAAATACTGAATACATAGGAATACACTTTTTTAACAAAGTAATTCAAGCTTCCAACATGAGTTTTTTTCTTCTTTCAATATACAAGAATTTCTCATTTTCCTAAATTTATGGCAGTGATAGTTCATGCACACAATTTTACCAGTTAATTACAAATAACACATCAACTGAGTGGAAGATATAAAAATAAGATCTCCATAAAAATTAATTCCAAAAAAGCATATTGAATAGTTTTGTTTTTTTTTTGAGTGAAACTTTTCCTCACAGAATTTTTTAAAATTTGCGCTTAGGGGCGCCTGGGTGGCTGAGTCCGTTAAGCGGCCAACTTCAGCTCAGGTCATGATCCAGTGGTTCACGAGAGCCCCACGTCAGGCTCTGTGCTGACAGCTCAGAGTCTGGAGCCTTCTTCGGATTCTGTGTCTCCCTCTCTCTGTTCCCTCCCCTGCTTGCACTGTCTCTCTGTCTCTCTCTCTCAAAAATAAATAAATAAACAAACATTACAAATTCAGGCTGAATATCATCAAGTCAAAATACATCAAGTTTTGAATCTGGCCTTTAAACTAAAAGTACTCTCATAAAGTATTACTCTAACAATATTCAATTTAATTTTTTCAACACATCAAGAACACCTCCTAAACTTCTATATAACAACTGAAAGGATATTGCATTAAGATAGATTAAATCAATATGCAGTACAACTGGTTTGAGTCCATCATATTACAATTTTAACACACCTTCCTGGTATTAGAGAATAGTTTCAAAATCAATATGATGGATTAAAGTTTGAATTACCCCAATTACAACTATAAAACAAAAATAAAAGGTCACACACACACACACACACACACACACTTAATCCTTTTCAATAGGAAAATAAAATAGGCTCCACTTAACAATGTATCTACTGTAAGTTTGTCAGGATTTAAACCTTTAGAACAGTAACCATTTCAAATTACACAAGCAGTTACATTTTAATACATTAAAGCGTTATTGTAGCTTTCCTGAGAGTAACCTGAAGTTCTCACCAAAAAACAAAAAACAAAAAAAAAAAAACAAAAATCCGGCACTTCACTGAGGCTCTAAGAACTGCATGCCTACTTCATAGATCATTACACTGTGCTGAGCTGACATCTGGAGACTGTACTGACCTGTACCCATGAAGCAAAGAGAAGGGATGGAGGAGAGAGAGCGTATTAAAAGAAAAACACTTCTTAACACACCCGTCACCTATGAGCATGAACTGTCGATAACATCATTGTAAAATGCACCTACTTCTAATTTTCCAACATTCAAAATACAGCAAGAACATAACCTACCACAAGCAGATCTTTCTACCCCTTCTCACCCCCACACAGTGCTTTGCCAAGAGCACAAGCCCAAGAAAAATAACCAATGCAATTTCCTTGTTTACTTAAAGAATTTCAGAAAACATGTTGACTGCTTCCGAAGCTTCTAAAACAAATGAATTTTCAACATTTAAGAGTTTTTATGATCACATTTGAAATACGATAGCAATGATTCCTTCACCCAGTAAACATACAGTTTCAACTTTATAAAAAGGGTTAATTTTACACTGCAGTTCATTAGCATGCCTTGTTTGCAACCAGAAGGAAGAGGGAAAGGGGGTGGGGGGAGCAGCAAAACACACAAGATGGAAAACATCACTACCTCCTTTGGTGGTTATGAATAATTTTAAATTACCACAAGATGTATGGGAAGAGTTCATGAATAGAAAGAAAGGGGGTTGACAATCTGAACTGGCCCCTTCCACATTCATACTGCTGTCGGAGAGAAGGAATTTATTTACACTGCAGTGCCTGGCAGCAAACATGGCTGCCCCTACCCCCTTTAAATCTGAATAGTCTTCACTCCCTCAGCAAAACCATCAAATTATGGCCATGTCTCTGCTGTCTTGACACCATAACACTAACACATTTCCTCCTCCCTCAAAACAGCAAAACCCCACACCTCCTCATTTCACAGCAATCACAACACTAGAACCACTAGCTTCTTCTACATTCTCTAGCCTTGAAAGAAAAGGCCCAGAATACACAGAAATATAGGAACAAAAGGCTTTCCCTTCCTTTAACAACCCCCTTCCCCTGCTTTTCCTCCCACTCTGTGATGCTTGGTCGGTAGTTCTCATCCTTCTCAACATTCAGTGCATTTCCCTCCCTATGCCAATTCTAAGTCTTCCAGTTTCCTGAGTCTGCGTCCTATCTTCCTATGCATCCTGTCTCAACAATTTATATCCCTTTTCCTAATCCACCTTTTCCTTTACTTCCATCCCCTCGTTTCCTCTCTTGATGCCCCATTTCTCCATACAATTCTGTCCCCTTCCCCCAGACTCTTCAAGTTTCCACACTGCACCCCCAAACCTAGTTCAGTTCACCCAGGTCTCTAATCTCCAAACCTAACTCTTCTTCTCGTTCCCTGCCCCTCCCCCGTTCCATCTTTATCCCCGCCCCCATCCCACCTTTACTCCCAATTCCCACCTCAGCGCCACTCCATCGCTCATCCCAATCCTACCTCCTCTGCCCCACCTCCCAATCTCCACACCCCCCCACCTAGCCCTCTGCTCTTCCTACCGAGCTCCCCTCGAACCCTTTCTGGCCACCAGCTTGTCCTCCCATCCTTGCTAGGGTCTCTCTCTCTCTCTACCCGGGTCCCATCCCTACGTCGCTCCCTCCTCGTCGTTCCCTCCTCAGCCCTTCCTTCCAGCACACACACATACACACACAGACGCATTAACTTTACCTTCAGTTTGTTCCATTCTAACCCCCCGGCCGTGTCAGTACGATCACAGGAGAGACACGGAGGCCCGGAGTGGGGCTGGGGTGCGGGCAGCCGCCGGGGCTGCGGGGGGGAGGAGACGGAACCGAGCTAGGCCGCATGAAATCCCCGGGCTAGATTTTCCTCGCGCCGGACGCCTCTGCCATGGCTGCCGGCACCGAGGAGGGCCGCGGCCGGCCAGGCCGGGCGTGAAGCTGAGATGAGGAAGGCTGCGGGAGACGGGGTGGCCAGGGGCGGTGGAAGGATGATGGGGGGTCGCCGCGCAGCCGCTGCTGCCAGAGAGAAGGCTGTGGCTGGCGGCCGCGCCGGAGCAGCAAGGTCCTCGGGGCTCTACT